ATGTAATGTTTATGTTTAATTGTTAATATTATTATTTTAAGCTAAAGATGTATAATAATTTCGATATAATAGATAAAATGTTAATTATGGTCCAAAACTTTCTTTCATATTCTCAATATAGTTGTAATGTAAGCGTATACAAAAAACACAATAACGATTTCTTCATAATTTGAGTAAATTAGTTTTAAAAATTGCTCTTAATTCATTTCACTGTGAATGTAAATAACTCGGCAACAGTTCTACTTGCAATTATAAAATTATAAAGAAATCTCAAACGAGTAGTATTTTTTTACGTTTTTCTTTTAAAGAATTTCCTTACGTGTTTGTTTCAGATTTATCACCCATGAATTGATTTCTAACTTTCTACTCGAACACAATGATGGAAGATGAAGTCCTATTCATTCTTTCATCTGAAAATAAACTTAATTTATTTTAGTGAAATATACAGAACAATAATACATACATAACGTCGAAAAAGGACGGCACACAATTTCCATAGGAGTTTCAGAAGTGTAAAGTATCTATGTGCTGTTATTCCGTGCAATAAACCAAAATGGTGCGTGTCTTGTGCAATAACTCTTTCGTGTTAAAAAATTAATAAAAGAAGAAGTTTTCAAATATAATACTAAGTTATTATTAAGTTTCAAATCCAATTATATATTTAGTTAATTTCATTTTTAAGGCATTTTTAAATTCTGAAATGTACATGAACTGAAGAAAGACTAGCAGAGCTTTAGGTGAAGCAAGGCAGGAATAAAATTGTCTTTCATAACTTATTATTAATTATTTTTTGTGCACTCCTTTTATATTGTATGTTTATTATTATAATTAATTTTTATTAAAAGTTTTCAATTTATTAAGAAATCAATCATATATTTATACAATAATGTCTTATATAATAACAAATTATACATTTAGATTAAATTTTCTAAATTAGATTATTTACATATTTTTCTTAAAATAGTTTTAAAAACTACTGTCAAAATTTTACTTTTGCACTAAGTCTGAAAACTTTAGGTTGATATAGGGACACAAATTTTGTCTTGATAGTTCTGTACTGTCTTAAAAGTAAATGCATTAACATGGGAAGGATCCATGTTTGAAAATGCCCAATAAATTAGTGTCCCTGTAGACATTAAACATATGTTAAAATCTCCAAAAAATAGCACATTTTGATTACATAACTCAGAAGTAAGGACTTTCTGAAGTTCTACAATTAAATGTCTGACAGAGAAAGCTGAATTTCTGTATAGAACCAGAATATTAATACCGAAATATTTAAACAAAACCGCTTCTAAAACTTTGCGGCCTGAATAAATTTTCTTTACAGCCTTTGGTTCTATAGAGCTAGCAATACTATGCTTTGCATATATTATAATACCCCGTTGATTTCTGTTGCTTGCTTCCGCGCTATCTATCCTCAGCTCTTCAATTGGAGTAAGTCCTGGTATATCAAAATTTTCTCAAGGATAGCTCCAAGTTTCTACAAAACATAAAATATCTGAGGATAGCATCAAACAGCCGATTTTTATATTATTATTGTGAGCGTGAAGACTCTGAACATTATGGAATAAAATGTGATGTCCTGATGTTCGGGAAATCATAAAATTCAAACTTCTTGCCAGAGCTTTATTTGGGTGTAATTCCCTCAGTTGCCTAAATACAGGATCCGATTCAGAAAATTTGGAAAGTGATTACTTTCAATAGAAATTTGTTCATTTCTTTAATATTGAAAAGAACTTTTTCAGTTGGTGTCCAAGAACTTTCTAGAGGATGAGGCTATTTTGATCGTGCTATCAAACCAACAGAAGGTTCCAAAAATTTAGTACACAGAGTTGTTCGAAAAGAACAATGGAAATCAATAACATAAGTTATCCAGCTCCCCCATTAACCAAGCCATCACACGTGTTTATATTCACTGTAATCATATATTTGGCGGATGCTTTTAGTGTCAATTCATAGGGCACTCCCTGCGTTTCAGAAATTTTGTAAAGTTTAACTCTTTTCCTTATTTCCAAAATACTCTCATTTTCACTTATACCAATTCCTTTAACTGAGTCTTTTGCAGTTAAAAGGAAAGCTTCTGTTGGGATTCGACTGAGCTAAGGGCATTGAAATTATTTGTCTCTTCATTGAACCAAAATAAATGTATGGCATCATCGGGAACTTCTTCGAAATTAACTACTCGAGTTTCAATGAGTGATATGTCCTCATTTGTCATAGTACCAGATGCCATATGATTTAATGCAATTGCAAAGGCATGATAGTCCCAAAGTATTTAAATAACTCCCACAAAGGGGACGGATATTAGGAGAGAGAATATCCACCTATCTCCAACAGGTAAGAGTTGCTTCAAATCACCAAACACTATGATCGGTATACCACCGAAGGGGCTGTCTGTTTCGAAAATTTGTTTTAATCTCGCATCAACAGAGCTAAACACACGAGCAC